CGCTGCTGCTGGTCTGACGCCGGGACAGCACGCAGCACGCTGCTCCTGGCCATATGGCCTCCTCCTGCAGACCCTGCCTCAGCCGCCGGAACAGGCGCCCTAAATCCCCCATCCCAGCAAACACCAACAGCTCACTGCCACCATCACCATCTCAGGTAATCAAGCAGGGGGGTTGGGTTCCTTTTGCTGCCACAGTCTTGTTTTTAGTGCTCCACAGCAGGCAAAAGCAGCCCAGGGCTGGCCCCGCCGCCTCCCATTAGCTCTGGCAGACCTCCCCTTCACACACAGCTGTTTGCCCCAGTCCTGGAGACTCCCCCCATGGGGATGGCTGTTCTCATCCCTTCTCCGTTTCAGTGTGTTTTGCCCTAAATGATTGCAGTTTGAATCAGTGCCTTGCATGAGGGGTGGTCAGGGTTGAGAGCAGAGGGGGTGGGGAGGGGGAACGTAACCAGGGAAGCCACCACAGTGCTGGGTAAGCTGGGCTGTGCATCACTGCCTCCAAGTGCTTATAGGGCCTTTTAATTCTTGAAAAACTGGTGGAAACTTGCTTTAAACAAGAAAGCAGAGGATGCTCAGGCTCTACCCAGGATAGTGACAAGGACAAGCTGCACGAGCCCATTGTGGAAGGGAGATCTGAGGCTGGACTGCTCCCACTCTGCCTGCAGGCACTGGTGAGGGGATAGTTTTGGATCCAACATCCTCCCGGATGCCCTGAAACTCAGATTTTTGTAAAGAGGGCTGCAAAGACCCCGCACCCATCCACAAAACAGTCTCCAGACTGTGCTGGCAAAACTCCTGGGACAGTGATATGATGGGTACTGAGTGTGCCTGCACAGGTGGAGCATTTACCAATACTGTCTCCAGGTTTAATCCTAGATGCAAAGTCCGTATGCAGCCAGCCTCCGGGTCACAGCTGATGCTTGTGGGCCCCTACGGCTGTATCTGGGGGCATGGTTGCCCTCTAAGAATGGCAGCTGAGGGAGTTCAGGCTGCCAGCCCAGATCCTGCTTGCCCATACTGCAGCATAAATTAAAAATAAGCCCTTGCTTTGAGCTGATTTTCTCACGATTCCTCTGGATGTCATTTGGATTCAAATCCATCCGCCTTTGGGAAGCTGGAAGCTTGCAGATCTCAACTTTTGAATGTTTGCAATTATGATGGTAATGGTAAAGGGACATATGCTTCTGTGTTCTCTATAAGCTGTTATGAGGCACAGTTGTTCTTTTACAGCCGTTTTACAGCCAGACCATCAAGCACAGGCAGGGGAATAAAACCCTTGTGCACATTGGGCTGGAAATAGGTTGGATGGGAACTGCTCTGGGCTCAGCCACCACATCCCTGTGCCTCCCCCAGTGCATTCGACTTCCCCCTGCTTTAGTTTTCTGACACCAGTAGCCCAAGATCTCCTTTGGGTTCTCCAGTCTGTTGAGCCCATGACAATACGTGGAGGGGAACAGCATGTTGGCCCATGTTAGCCCAGCACTTGACCCCAGAGATTCCTTATCCCAGTCCTAGACAATGGGTCTGAGAAAACTCAGAACTTCCCAGCCTTATGCTGATGGCCAAAGAAATTTCCCTGACAAATGCAAGGAGAGACTCTTCCGCAGCTCTAGCCGTGGCTGGAACATAACCAGCTTCAGTAGCCGAAGTTTTGGAGGGGAACAGGTTTCTCTGGTGTATCCTGGAGGATGGTGGGAGGTGCAGGGAATACCAGCACCCCATATACCCCCAGGGACAGTGGAAGAAGGTCTGCCTCTCCTTTGCCGTCAGGCAGGGGACAGCATCACAGTGCATGCTGAAAGCTTTTCCTGACAGCCTTCTTTCGCTTTCAGCTCTTCCCGGCTGATGTCGGGTGTTAGCTGCTGATTTACAAGCAGCAAAACCCACTGTGGCAGCACTCCTCAGCATACGAGCAGGAGGTGCCAGGGCCCTTCTATCCCAGCACAGCTCTTCTGTGTGGAGCATCCACCCCACAGCAGCATCCTTTCCTCTGTTCACCCCTCAGCCCAGGGACCAGCTCATGACAATATGTCATGGTAAAAATCACTTTTCGGGGAAAATGTCTCTGGTTCCCTAGGAAGGACTCCCTGGGTAGCTTTGGGATTCCAAACACCCTCTGCTGGCTTTCCTCAGAAGCTGACTGCACCCCAAAATCTCTCACATTCAGGGAGGCTCCCATGGCTTTGCTTCACATTGCTGATGGCTCCCTCCTCCTCCTCAGGCAAGAGCCTGGCAGCTCTGCCAGGCTTGCACCCCCATGATCAGCAGGGATCTGGGTCTGTCGGGCTCTCTGGCTGTGACAGAGAAGATCTTCTCCAGATCACCGTGCCCTGCCAGAAACAATCTGTTTACAGTGTCAGCGCTCGGTGTATCCCTCCCCACTCGGTGTCGAACCGCCCGTATCCTATTTCTGCAAGCACAGAGACACCCTTCTGTAGTCCGGGTGGCATTGTCACTACAGGGAATATTTCCGTGACATCCTCCAGGGCTGGTGGGCAAAGCCTAACGAAGCTCTTCTCCCAAATTGCCGCTCCTAGAAGTGCCCGCGGATGTTGCAAACACGTCCTTCGCTTTTTCTCCGGAGGTCCCTGCTGACCTGAATTTTCCTGCGGGTCCTGCCGCTGATCCCCAGCGACGCGAGAGTGTAGGTGCCGGGCTATAGGATTTCCCTCGCACAGCCCCCTCCCTTTGGGGATGCAGCTAGTGGCTGGGTCACTTATTTGACAAAGATGAGCTGACGGCTCAGCAGAGCTGCAGGCTGCAGCCCCTGGTGCCAGCACTGCACGGAGCCAGCCCCTGCCGGCCCTGCGCGCCGGGGACGTGCCGGGAGGGTGCTCCTCCGCACCATGCCCTTGGGTTTGGTTTCCTTCTGGGTTGGTGCACGCAGCTAACGCCTGCGAGCGCTCTTCCTCTCTCCTTCTCGCTCTCAGAGACCCTTTAAATCGGCTGCTTCACACTCAGTAAGCATCCACACCCCCCCCCTTAAAACCGTACCGTTTCTCCCAGGTCACGCCAGGCAATCACTTCCCAGCAAACTCACCGATTTTGGCCAGTTTTTCGCTCTGCTTGTTAACAGCCTGTTAAACCCTCGGAGCCCCCGGGGCGGCTCTGCTCGCACACACGTCGGGAGCAATCACCCGGTGCCTGGGAAACGATTGCTGGCATTACCTGGGCAGCAGCAAACTTTGCTTGCGCAGCTTCTCTCAAGGCCGATGCTGATGTTGGCTATTAGTGCTAACGACCCCCGTGTCTGCAACTTCCAGGCGATGGGGCCTTTCATCAGGGAGCCCCTCCGAGATCCAGGGAAAGTGTGGCTTTTGGAGGAGCGCAGTTTTCTTCCGCCTCACTGGCTTTTTATCTCTTTCAGGAAGCTCTGGAGGCTACGAGCTACCTTACCTAATGGATCTCTATTAGATTGCGGCACTGGGGGCTGATCGGACATGCCCCGGGCTCCAGCTGCTCTCCCCATCCATGTTTTCAATGTTTTTGACTTTTGCCAGCCTCCAGATGGGAAGCAGCCAGGGGTCTGTAGGACTCAGGCTTGATGACTGGGGAAGGGATATTTTATCCCCTAAATCCATCTCCGAGCAAAGCACAGCAGTGTTTCAACAGTGCTGTGGGGGGAAGCTGTTTGTGCAAAGCTCCCGCCCGAAACATTGCACCACCATGATGCACAGGCAGGATGATATCGGAGTGTTTCATCCCGTGAGAGACTCTCAGCCTGCCACTTGTGGTGTGGCAGGTAAGGCATGGGTCCTGGGGACAGGCTGGTCTGTGGGGCTTCAGTATTGTCCTGGAGGTACCTGTCAGACGGAGCTGAGCCTCCCTGACCTGTTTAATCCCACCTCCATCATTACAATGTCTTTTTGTATCACTCCTTGCCTGGGGTCTGGGATCTCCTGTGCTGGCACTGTGCAGCACAAAGGCAGCCCCATTCTTCAGGTTAGAGCTCCGACAGGGCAAGAAAGAACAAGGCAGTATTCAGCTTCTCTCTCATTAAGCATGGAAGGAATTATATGCCCAAGAAGGCAGTGGTGATGCTGGATTTGCTGCCCTTCCCCGGTGCAGGATTCAGGACTGTCCAGAGACAACGAGGCTGCAGCCACAGCTCCCATGTGTCACATTGTCCCTTGCCCCAGCCACCCTTGTTCAGGCTGTACAACATGTTAGTGCTGGGCAAGGGGCCCGAAGGCACCTCAGTTTCCCCCACTGTGCTCCTGCTGGAATGGTCCCAGAGCAGGAAAAGCAAATCCTGCCCTTCCGGGGAGGGGAACTCGGGCAGTGAGGATGAATACCACCTTTATGTGTGGCCTCCGCCAGAGACCAGAGTGGTGGCTGCACATCACCCAGAGATGTCTGGACTTTGAAGCCCAAACACGGGGCCAGCTAGTGGCTGGCTAAAAATCGTCGCAGCTCTGGGGAGGATGAGTTCCTAAGAGTGCCCCAGTAGCCCCCCACATCGCTCATCCGGCAGCCCCCAGTGCACAACTCCCCTAGGGAGATGCTCTGATGTTTACAAGGGACTGGGACTGTTGCTTTCCCCCCTTCCCTGCGTGTCCCCTAGCTGTGGGGCTGCAGGAGAGCACCCCACCACCCCGGGGGCTCTGTCACCCCAGCACACACCCCTCCTGCACCCCGAAGTGCCAGCCTGCGGCCTCGCAGCCCCCGCCCAGGCGAGTGGGGATCCGCGGCAGAGGTGGGGCGTGCTCGGGGGCAGATGGGCAGCGTGGGACGGGTGCCACGCGTGCCCGGCCACCCGCGGCGGCTGCCCGACGGGGAGGGCGGGTGTCCTGCCGCCCCGTGGCGGCGGGGAGCCTGGCAGAGGACTCAGTGAAGGACCTTCTCCGGTTTCCTCGGGAGGCTGTCAGGCGGCGGGGGAGCCGAGCCCCCCGCGCCTCGCTGGCCGCGCCGGCTCCCTCCCTCTCTCCCCCGCACTCCTCCTCCTCCTCCTTCTCCTCCTCCTCCTGCTCCTCCCGCCCTGGTGCGAAGGGCTTTCGCTGCTTCTCTCTTCCCTCTCCTTCCTGTCTCCTCGGCGGACCGCGGTGCTGGGAAGCGCGGGCAGAGGCGCGGGGATGGAGCGGCCGCCGGCTCCCGGCCCGCCCGCCCGCTCCCGCCGCCCGCCGCCGCGTCCCCTCCCCGGCCGGCGGGAGGCGGCGGCTCTCCCATGCCGCCCGCCTCGCCCCTTGCTCTGAATTTCTGCCCGTCGGCCGATCTGGGGAGAGACGGGGAGGGGGTACGTCCCCTCGCACTTTCCTCCCCCTCCACTTCTTTTTTTCCACCCCTTTTTGCCTTCCCTCCATTACGCCCCCCCTCTTCCCCAGCCCGCTTCTCCTCCACCGGGACTGTTCGGCGGCCATGCGGCCGGTCCTGGGCGAGCGGCTCTAACTCGCCACCTCGCCCGGATGGCCCCCCGGAGCCGCGGGCGGATGGAGCCGAGCTACGTCGTGGGTATCTGCTGCCTGGTGCTGCTGGAGCCGGGCCGGGTGTGGAGCGGCGAGCCCAGCACCGGGGGGCCCGGGGAGAGCGGGAACAGCAGCCAGGCACCGCCGCCGGAGACCACGGCCCCCGCGCCCACCGGAGCGGCACCACCGGGGGGGGACCGCTGCCGTGGGTACTACGACGTGATGGGGCAGTGGGACCCGCCGTTCAACTGCAACGCCGGCATCTACCAGTACTGCTGCGGGACCTGCGGGTACCGCTTCTGCTGTCAGTTCAAGCCCAGGCGGCTGGACCAGAGTGGCTGCTCCAACTACGACACCCCCAACTGGGTCAACACGGGCCAGCCACCTGCCCGGGTGGACGAGACCCCCGAGGACCCCACTCGTGACAAGACCAACATGATCGTCTACATCATCTGTGGCGTGGTGGCCATCATGGTGCTGGTGGGCATCTTCACCAAGCTGGGCCTGGAGAAGGCACAGGGTCCTCAGACAGAGATGACCGTCTCCAGGTAAAGGGGTCCGATACCCCCACCCGCCCCACTCGGTTTCCCCATGGGTACCAGCTCATGTTCCCAGCCCACTGTGTAGGATGAGCCCTGGCTTCACCTTAGGACTGCCAAGACGGTGAGGTGATCCCCAAACCCCCTGTCCCGGCATGCTGAGACACCAGGGGGTGGGTTGACTGCAGCTCCCCAACCTGTCCTGGCAGAGGGGGCTGCCAGCCAGGACAGCCTCCACAAGTAGGGGTGGTCGTACACCCATCCCCTCCTAAAATGATCTGCTCCATCTCTTGTGGAGGCATGTCCCTGACTCAGGAGTGCCAACCCACCAGCCGGTGGGGTGGGTGACATGAGAACTACAGGATGCGGCTTTCCTCCCCAAAGCAAATCTGTGGTTTCCAATGTCCATGGAAGGTGAGACTGTGGTCTGACTATGTTTGGGATCACTCTGGACTGCAGTCCCCTTGGTCTCAGCCTCGCTGGCAGTGCAGGGGGAGAGGAGGTGGCAAAGACAGCTCCTCTGTGGCTGCTGCGCCAGCTTGTGTGTGTATGCATGGGTGTGCCCTGCTGTCTGCTTCTGTGCACCAGAGTGGGACATCACCCTTGTGGGGGGGAGTCCACACTCCTTGGAGCTCACTCTCCAGCAGAAAGTTGGGCAGTCTCTTCCTGGACCCCATATCCTGTGGCTCCAGCCCTTGGTTTTTCAGCCCACTCCTGGGGCTGAGCACAGGACTGGCAGGGGGAAGGTCAAGGTGTCAGGCACATTTTGGCATTGGGGACCCCCTGTGTCTCTCCCAACTCCTGTCCTGCTGCTGTGGCCGTCAGTACATCTTCCTCTCTTCCTACTTGATACACACTTCTCTCCCCGTTTTGGGGCTCTACTTTGCACCTTCCCAGTGAGGACAGAGTCTGGAGAGAAACCCATTTTCATGCCATTTTGTTAAGGGATTTTAGCTTTTAAAAAAAGAAAAAGCAGGGCTGGAGGAAATGATCACTGGGATCATTAGGGAGCCGCGCTGATTGCAACCCCCAGCATGGACACTCTCTCTCCTTCCCCTGGAGCACCCTTTTTCCCCTGCCTGTTTAGGACTTGGGCAGCCACCGAGTGCTGCACCCCACATCCGAACCCACTGCACTCTATCCCCAGATCCACCCTACTTCTTCTGCCCACCCAGGGGAGCAGAGGCTGGCCACTCTTGCTTGGAGGAGGGTCATATTGAGGAATGGAGGAGGGTCACAGGACCCTCCTGAGACATGCGAGGCAGTTTTGGGGGGATCCGTGCTGTGCCCCCTCCTTGGCAGGGAGCCTGGCTGTGTGCTGCTGCGTGCCCGCGCCTCCCCCCGCGTTGCCTGAGGAAGCGCTGGCACCTTGACAGGATCAATACGGCCTCCGCCAGCCTCCTGACTCCCCTTCCACTCGCCTGCCTCCGCGTCTTTTTTTGGTCGTTCCCCCCCCACCTCCCGGGAATGAGATACTGTGCTTAGGGAGGGGTCAGACCCTGGGACACCCAGACCCGGGTCCTCATCCCCTGCCGTGGGGTCTTGCCTTCTCCCATCACCAGACACACTGGTGGAACTGCTGCCACTCACTGTGGGCTGTTTTTCTGTGTGTAGCCTCAATTCTGTGCTGTCAGAGCACAGAATCTCCTTCTTGCTCATACAAGCCTGAATTTTCCCGATAGGTGCCTGTTCTCCCTGAAGCTGCAGATCTTTTGGGCACTAGCATATAGATTGGGAGAAGGCGAGTTTTCCTCATGCACCTTTGTGGGACAAAATCAGAAGGGCATATTCGTCACCAGGTGAATGCAGCCTCTCTCCTGTTGGGCTTGCCAGGTGTGGGGCTTGGGCCTCCCAAAAGTGGGTCATCCCCTGGACTGGGGTGTTCTGCCAGATCCTGGGTCCTACTCCCACACGGGAACCTCCCCTGGGGATGGCTCAGGAGAGGTCTTGCCATCTTCCATGAAGGCGAGTTTTTCTCATGCACCTTTGTGGGACAAAATCAGAAGGACACCTTCATCACCGGAGTCAGGAGAGGTCTTGCCATCTTCCATGACCTGTGTCCTTCTGTGTAAGCCATAAGCGCCTTTGGTTCCACAGGGTTGGTGACTGGCAAGCCCTGGCAGGGCAGGAGTGGTGCATCAGGTGCAGAGCCCCAGGAACCAGGCAAGGCACCAGGCTGACATGACCTCCCTGGTGCTGGGCTGATGGAGACAGTGCCAGAGGCTGGGTACATGGCATAGGCATCCAAAAAAGGGACACTGTCACCTCCATTCCATTGTGAGCCTGGGGATCTTGCACAATACGTTTTGCCTTGGTGCCTCTGAGAGAGCAGGGCTATTTCTACCTGCCTTGTCCCTGTACCCACACATGGCCCAAGGGGTGGGCAGTACCACCACGCCTCTCTCCCAGTGCCTCAGGTAGGAGCTTCTCATTTGCTCCTTGGGCACCGCATCATGGCCTTGGGCCAGCTCCCTGTTGCACGGTCGTCTTGGTTTCCATTCCTATCCCTCCCTCCCACCAGGGTTTTTTCCGCTCCTGGGGAGCACTGTGTGCTGCCCTGGGTGGCTCCCACCGCTTCTGGCTCCCACCACTGCTGGCTCCCACCCCAAGGTTTCTCTCTTGGGGGGAAAGGTCAACTACTTCTGCACCTCCAGATGTTGTTTGTCATGGTTCTGGTCCTGGTCCAAATCCAGGAAGAGTGACCAGGTGCAGGAAGTCCACTAGCTCCTCCCTCATGGAGACACCTGAGTCTGTATCCAGCTTGTCCTGAGACCCTCACGCCTTGGCCACCTCCAACATCTCCTCACAGATTTGGGTACTGGTCTACCCAGGGAAGTGGGTGCTCTAGTGACTGCAGCTACCTGATTTGTCCTCCCCTCCTCATCCGCCTTCCTCCTGCAGGGCCTTATGGCAGCTCCTGCACTCCCCTCTCCTTCCTGCTCAGCTCACGTTTGGCATCCATCCCCAGCACTCGCTTAGCCTGGCCAAACCCTGTGTTGAGTCAAGAACACCTGCCTGTGTTTTTCTTCAGTCCCCGGATCTCCGGGGACGTTGGGTCCTTGGGGGCTGCAAGGATTTGTTTGTGCCCATTGCACGAGAGCAGGCATGTGCCCCAGACCTCTCCCAAAAACCTCCTGGGAGGGGATTGCAAGATTATAGCTGGGGCGGACACCCCTACAGCAAGAGTTGGGCAAAGAGTAGGCCCCTGGGGAGTAGTGAGGATTCTGGAGAGGAGCAAAACAGCCATCAGGAGCAGGTGCCCTGACAGCTGCAATAGGTGAGTGTGCAGTGCTGGCTTTTCGCTCTTTAGGTCTCCCTGTGCTATTTGGGGTACCCCAAACTTGGCCCCACTGTACATCCAACTGCACTGGGTATTTCTCTGACAATGCTCAAGTCCATGGCCATGCCTGCAGTCAATCAGTCAATGCCAATGGTAGCATGTGGTGGCGAAGACCTACAAAAAGTGTTTGCAGGCGGCATGGTGTGCTGCCCTGGCTCTTTGGGGGATGAGAGGGGATCCAGCTCAGCAGAGAGGGAGACCTGGAGCCCTGTTCCTAGACTGAACTCTAGGGAGGCTCACTTCCACCACTCAATTCTTTGCCCAAGCTCCATTACTCCATGCTGCAACTCCAGTTTTGCAAAGACACCTTGCTACACCCTACGCCTTCCTGAGCATCCCTAAGAGTCCCAGCCCCACTGTGCAGGTGTCCCGCGGTGTCCATTCTGCTCAGTTGCATAGATGGGCACCTCTTGCCCTGAGCAGACACACCATAAGCCATGGGAAATGTCCCCACCTCAGGAGGTGAGGATTACGCTCTCACTGGGCATGGAGGTGGTGTGGCCGGCCGGGATGCCAGCCCGCCTGCAGCTGTGATGTGCTGTGTGTCTCCTGCAATGCTGCACCTCTGCTCCAAACCTCATCACCCTGCTCGTCCAGTGGCTGCCACCTTCTGCGTCCCTTCCAGGGGTTCACTCCAGCTCAGGGCAACATCGCTTCATCCATCACTCCATCATCTGCCCTCTCTTCTGCAGGCTGCGCTCGTCTCCTCACTTCACTCCCTGTCCCCTTGCAGGGACTTGCAGCCTCTCTCCTGTTGGGCTTGCCAGGTGTGGGGCTTGGGCCTCCCAAAAGTGGGTCATCCCCTGGACTGGGGTGTTCTGCCAGATCCTGGGTCCTGCTCCCACATGGGAACCTCCCCTGGGGATGGCTCAGGAGCACTGAGTGCTGCATGCATGGCTCCTGCCGTGGAGCTCTCTTGGCCTCCGTCTTCACTGCTCCTGGCTCTGCCTCTGTGCTTGGTCTCAGGGCTCGCACCAAGATGGTTTGGGGCATCTTTGTTGTACCCGTTGGCAGAACTAGGCTTGCCATGGAGGTGGCTGCATGCCCACTGAGTTGATGCTGTGCTCAGGCAAGCTGGGTGGCCGGCGACCCTCACACATGGCCTCACGTACTCCACATCTGTGGCTATGGTGGTGGATGGAGGCCTCAGTAGTGCTGTTCATTTCTGCTTTTTGCAGACAAGCAGTGTAGGTCTAAAGCCACATCTGCTCTCCGTTCCCTTCCTCCACCTGCACCCCAGAGCCATTTTGGTGCCACAGACCACCGGGTGACCTAGGGAGATGTGGCCTGAGCTTCCCCAAGCCCTCCAGCCACAGGACCAGACTGAGGCTCATAAAGCCCCCAAAACCCTGTTTGGTGAGACAGCAGCTCCTCAGGATGGTGTCACCTTCTGTGTCCACCTCCCCTGCACTGCACCACCTGGGGATGAGCCAGGGAGGGCGTGCAGCCCCAGAGAGACCTACTGGCACCCATAGCCTATGGCACCACTTCTGGTGCAAGGGCAGGGTGAATCTGGGTGTTGCTGGTGCTGAGGGCTCATGAACGTTTCTCACCATGGCAGAGTAGCTCATTAAGAGCTGCTCGTGCTGTTGTTAATCGTTATTATCTGCACGCCCTGGGTGGTCAGCACAGAGGGCAGGTTTATGAGAAAGAGCATTGACGGATTTATCTGGAGAGGAAGTCAGAGATAAAGGATTGCTCAAGCTTCATAAATAGACCCGAGGAAAAGAAAAAATAATTTAAAAAATAGGTCAAATCGCATTGAACTTCCCATTGAAACAATCCTGTTTGAGCGCTGGCCCTGGGGACAGGCAAGAGCAGGCAGCATCCAGTGGGGAGGGGGCCAGCGTGCAGTGCACCCCGGGGAAGGTGGGAGCTGACAGGGCAGCAGCTCCCTGTGTTGACAGCCTACACCCATGGCCTTGGGGGACCTGCCTCCCCCCTGCCCTGCCTGGGCATAACCCACTGCCCACCCATGCATGTGCCCAGAGTTTCTTTGGGCCTGGCCTGGACCCTAGTTGAGTCAGTCCACTGCAGGAGGGGACCTGGGGAGGTGCAGGATTTGAATAGCTGCAGGATGGAGGTGGCACAGCCTCCTCAGGCAGCCTGGTCAAGCACTTAACTACTCTTGCAGGAAAAAAGGTTGTTTCTTCTGTTTAAACAGCATTTCCTGTGTTTCTTTTGCCCCTGTCATCTCTTGTCAGCCTGGCACTGTCCTTGTTGCACCCTCCCTTCAGATACTCACCTACACTGATAAGATCCCCCAGAGTCTTCTCTTCTCTGGGCTGAACAGTCCCAGCTCTCTCAGCCTCTCCTTATATAAAAGATGCTCCAATCCCATCTTTGTGGCCCTTCCCTGGACTCTCTCCCTTATGTCCATGTCTAGCTTGTACTTAGGAGCCCAGAGCTGGAGCCAGCACTTCAGGTGTGGCCTCACCAGTGCCGGGCAGAGGGGAAGGATCACCCTCCTCAGACCTACTGGCAACACTTTGCCTAATGCAGCCCAGGACACCATGCAGCGCCTTTGTCCCAAGGGCACACTGCTGGCTCATAGTCAACTTGGTGTCCACCAGGATCCCCTAATCCTTTTCCACCAAGCTGCCTTCCAGCTGTCAGCTGCCAGGGTTTTTTCCTCCCTCATTTCAGTTTGTTCTGCTCCATGACTGTCCTCTTGGCCCATTTGGAGATGAAGTGATCCCAGAGGGGTTGCTACCCCAAGCTTCCCAAAAATGATGTGAAATTAACCCAAAGGGAAGTGACCTTCCCTTGTAGCTTTGCTCTTGCCATTGCCCTGTGATACTGACTGGAGCCAAACTGGGAGGGAAAATGAGGGGCCCCACAAGCATACACACCCCTGGGCACAACACGTTGATTTCCCCCTTGTTCTCACTGCCTTTCCTGGAAATTCCCTGTACCACATTCTCTAGGTTTTTGAGCACTCTGGTGCCATGAGCTGACACATCTACCAAGTCAGGATTATTCCCCGCTTCCTCTCCCATTTGCATTTATGCATGTTGAGTTTAATCTGCTGTTTTATCATCCAACCACTTGCTAACCGTCAGCTCCTGCCACAGCTCCCAGTGTGCGTCTATGAGCCAGCCAGAGCCTTCGAGGCACGAGGCACGCTGACAGTGAGCTGGGGATTAGGGAGCCAAAAAAAGCCCCAAGTGGACACCCCTGCACTCTTGCAGTCACCCAGGGATGGTCAAGGCAGGGGCAATGACATGTCTTCTCATTACAAAGTCCCACACCAGCAGGAGCATCCCAACCTGTCCTGGGACTTGCTGCCAAAGGCTGCAGTGGCAGGTGGGTATGCCCTGCTCCGGCACTGCTGCTGCGCTCCCTCTATCACTGCTGGTGTATTTTTCTCTGTCATCACTGGTGTGCCCCACTCTGGCACCACTGCTGTACCCCACTCTGGCATGGCCAGCATGCCTCGCTTTCACATTGCCGGCACACTGTGGTGGGACTGCAGCATCTCCGTCCATGAATGTTAAACGAAATAGGGCTCTATCTTATGTAATGGTGTTTAATGTTTAATGCTGTTACTTACAAGAAGGGTGTTATGCACAGACAGTGCCTGCGCCAGAGGCTGCCGCTAGTTCATCCCCTTCCCCGAAGGGGTGCAAGTGGCCTCTCTAATCCCTTCCTCAGGGTCTTCTATGTTTCAAAGGGACTTGAGTGGAGGTGTTGCTTCCTCTCCCCACGTATACCAGGCTCTCACTCCAGAGGAGCATCCCCAAAGTGTTGCTCCAGCTGCCATCAGATCAGGTTCCTCTGTCTCAGTGCATCAGACCCTTGAACCTCGCTCCAAGCCGTACATCTCCCTCACCACCCTCACCCACTGACAACCCTGGCTCTGGGAGGGCTCAGCCCCAGTCTGATCCCAATTAACTGTTCAGGTGGGGCTCACTAGCCCACCCGAAAAAGCTGGGTTAGGACCCTGGGTGCATCCTGGCTCCCGGCAGCCATTTCCTAGTCCCAGGCTGCCCAGCTCTGCCTCCAAAGAGCACGATTCAGGGCCGGGATGCATTAGGGGACCCAGGGGAACAGGGTATTGCTCTAACAGCCCTTTCATCCCTTTCCCAGGACACTGACAGATCTGCTGAAGCAGCCAGGCCAGAGCCCCTCTGAGAACATGGACAGCCTCATGGGGGGTGTGCAGGTCCCACTGGGCGAGGGGCTGGCCCGGGGGCCCCCCAGAAACAGCACAGGTAAGGTGCTAGTGTGGTGGGGGAAAATAAGTTCCCTTGGGTGGATAAAGGCAGCAGGAGGGTACAGCCTGTGGCTGAGCCCCTACCTGCCTCTGCCCCTCCAGACAAGCCGCCCTTGAACAATGCGGTGGCCATTGCTCCCTCACTGGGGCGGCCCCACAGCCACGGCAAGCGCCTGCCGCTGGCCAGCAGCCTGGCCCTGTCAGCCTCAGACTACACTTCCTACACCACCCTCAAGGTTGGAGGTGAGTGCTGCTGCCGTGTGGGGTGGGATGGTGGCAGGGGGACCCAGCAAGACGAGTGAGGAGGGGCATGGGGCTCACAGGGGAGCATGGACAGGACAAGCCTCCCAGTTTCCCAGGGCTCCTGGGGTGGCTGCTCATAGCAGAAACTCTGTGGCTCCTCCACTGTTCCACCAGCCTGCTGTGCTGCCCAGTCAGTCAGTGTCTAGGGTCTCCCATGGATCCAGTGCACTTCCCAGCCAGTCACCCAGGATCCCACATAGACCTGAAGCACTGCCCACCCCATCAGACCTCAGGATCCACATGGACACACCGCACTCCCCAGCCAGTTCATTGCTGAGATCCCCCCCCAGTCCCCAGCCAATCAGTACCCAGGATACCTCCCACAGCCCCATCCCAGCCTTCCCAACCAGTGCACCCTCCCTGGTCCCCCCAAACCAGCAGAAGTGGGTGTCCCTGCAGGGGTGACACCCCACCCCTGTCCCCACAGAGAGCGCCTCCGAGGACTTCTACAGGCGATTCGGGGGGCTGGAGACACCCCCCGCCAGCACACTGCCCTTCCCACCCACCGAGACACCAGTGCTGCCCAAGGGCTGCCCCCTGCCCAAGGCCAAGGGCCCCAAGCTGCCAGGGAGCCTGGTCTTCCCAGGGGGCTGGGAGGGGGCCCCCCATCGCGGCCCCCACCGGCCGGGCCTGGCCACCCTGCGCCCCGAGGGGCCACCTGAGGCCTTCGGCCCCTCCACCCCACTGTACAGCCAGCACCCCCGGCACCTCGCCACCAACAGCAAGACTGAGGTCACCGTTTGACGACCAGCACTGCCAGGGGCTGGGGCTGCCCCCTCACCTGGGTGTTGCTGCCCTCGGGGGCAGCCCACTAGAGCAAAGCATCGTAGGACCTGCGTAAACTGCGACGCTGGCCAGAGGGGGAGACGCGCCATCCTTCCTCCCCTCCAGGGATGGCGACTGCTGGCTGCACTTCACCATCGAGGAGGCATTGGGGTCTCATCCAGGCAACAAGTTTCAGCCATTCTCAGCCTGCTCCATGAAGAGGCTGAGCTGGGAGCACACTGACAGAGCAGTACCCTGCTCAAGGGACAGGGGCCAATGCTGGACAGACTGGGAACACGTCCTGCTTGGGCCAGGCACCCCGAACCTAGCTGCAGTGAGCAGGTGGGGGGAAGAGCAATGGACTCAAAGCACCAGCTCGGTGCTGCCAGTAAAGCCCAGCAGCCCCTTTCCCTCCCCAGCCTCCCCTTTCCCACTGCCCCAGCCTCCCCTTTCCCACTGCCCCAGCCTCCACCTTGTCAATAAATAATGCATTAAACCATATGGCCTTGGTATGGTTTGGCTGGGGAATTCCACACTGCTCCCAAAACCCCACCACCTTCCCCAGGGGCAGCAGAGTGCAAAGCCCACTCCCACAGGGCCTGGGGAACCCCCCCAGTGGGGGACATGGTGGGAACACAGCTTCCAGGCCCAACCACAAAACCCTTTGAGCTGCTACACAAAAACGAGATCTCCTCTGTCTGAAGTTTAATGGTTCTGACAGAGTTTTACCAGGGGGAGCAGAGAAACAAAGAGAGGGAATGAAAAGACGTTATTCTAAACCAAGGTCAGCTAACAGCTTTCATCCCATAGAGATGCTCCTAAAATTGCAGGTTTCTGGCATAGCTTTACCTTGCTTGGCTTCGCTCAAGCCATCAGCCTCTTGAGTTGTTTCCAAAGGAGCATGTAGACACCACACTTGCTCCACCAAGGGATCATCTTTTGTTGCAAACTGTACAGCTCTGTTCTTCGGGTTATCCAAAGGACCGACAGCTTCCCAAGGTGCCTGCAAGGTTTTATGTCTCTGAAGGACATTTCAAGCTCACCTCTGCTTAAGAGCAGCTGTTGGGTGGGATGAAAAGGGCTAAGAGAAAGAGGGCAGGTGGGAGGTGGTGGTAACGTTCATCTTTATTAGGTAACAGATGCTCAGGAGCCCTGGAACAGGATTTTCAGACAGGAGATATGTTCCCTGGGGAACCTCCCCACCACCAGTTGCATCTTGTATCACAAAGCATCCCTACTCTGAACCCCATGAGGATAAATAGACTTTCTTCACATAATCCATAAAACAATTTTCTCCCACCCACAAACAAAAAAGTTACAGTATATACACACACATGTAAAAAAAGTCGTAGGGACAGATGGGCAGCAAATTTATAAACAGTGTAGAAAAAACGGCAAGGATCCGTCACCCTGGAGGGGGCAGAAAAGTATGTAAGCCATGCTAGGACCCTCCGTGGATCATGCTATTTGCTACTGGGGTTTCAGCCCAGCAGTCTGCCAGTTCCCCAGCCAGTACTTCCTGCAGCCCAGCCCCCAGGGCTCAGACCACCGTTAGTGACCAAGTGGCACCTCAGCATCACTGCTTTCCCAAGGCCTTGCTTCCCATTTTACTAAAGTACAAAACTTCCCACGTGTTGCACGCAGACCCAGAGAAATGCAAAGTAACTCAGAGGTTGCCACAGGCAAGGAGTTTCTGTATTTCAGGGAAAAAAACATGACCAGGAAGACAGCGTGAGAGCCACTGAAGAGGACGAAAATCAGGAGGAGGCAATCCACCTCCCAGAATAGGATCACTGATAAGCCGGGGAACTTGGGAATGGGCAATCAAAATGTGTACAAACCCAAGAGCTCTTATGCATACCTAGGATACCTGCTCGAAGAGGAAGTTGCTGCCACCAGAGCATCCTCTACACTCAAAGACACTCTTGAGAGCAACCTCTTCCCCTCAAACAATGAGCTCCCCTCCAACCACCAACCCTGGGAAGCAAGGAACCCCCCTGCCTGCCAGCAGGACAAGAAGCTCAGGCTGCCGGCCATTGCAGCTGGGTGTCTACCAGCTATTCCCCACATAAAGTGGGGGAGGGAGGGAAACATCTTCTGGTCCCTGCACTTTTGTCTGCAGCTACAGATCACGATCACTGGGAACAGGCTTTGCTGGGAGACAGGTTTCTCCTGGCCCCAGTTTCCATCTTCGTGAAGCCAGGCAACTCCAGGACTAGCATTACCTGTGCTCAATTCCTGTAGCACATGAAATGCTCCTCACAGATGCCAAAAGACCCTGTGCAAAGTGAGACCACAAGCCCCTATCTTTTTCCTCTCATTTTGAAGGAGCTCAAGCTCTCACACCCCTATGCAAAAGCTGGATATATGTAAAAAGCTTCTTACAAAACAGTACAAGTTCTGATTTTGCAGGAGTTAGGTAGTACAGGCCTGATTGGGACAGGATGGGTTTGGACTGCTGTATCTAAATGTTTCTAGCTGCTAACATGGAGAACACGCTGACCATAACACAGGGAGAAACAGCAATGCCCACTTGTCAAAGGTTGGTTTTCACATTTGCACATGTCAGAGGGCAACTGCTTTGCACTTCTTTGGAGAGATGCAACAGGAAAGGCAGAGAGAAAGAGGGCAAACCGTTCTCTCCCTGTCCCAAATCCACCTCCCCCTCTTGGAAAGTCACAGGCAATTCAACACCTGCAAGTCAAACTGCTCAGAATAGCAATGGTAACAAAGCTGGGAGACTTGCACCCTGAACCAGTGCTTCCCAGATTCTGCAGGAGCTGTTGAGCAGTTGGAAAAGGTAAGGAGAAACACCTGAAGACAAATTCTGGGACTGGGAGTTGAGTAAAATAAAAAACTGTTTCTAAAAATTGTTTCTGCATCAACAAAAAGGCACCAGAGAAGCATTCACCCTTCACGCCAATGCAGGGCACGGCCCGTCCACCTCTGCTGCCACCCAGCATCAGATGACCAGGGATGCCAAGGCTTTCTACCAGGCTTTGTTTGTTGTAGGCTGCTACAAACCCACTCCCTGCCAAAAACTGGAGGCAGCTATCACAGGAAAAGATGCATGAAGCAGAGAGGAAGGGAAATCTGCTGCATTGTTCCCCATGTTTTTGTAAAGCCATGAACACTCCTATAAAAAAACCTGTATAAAAACTGTAGAGAAATTTGCTGGGCAGTACTGGCCCCAAGCGATACTCCCAGAGCACCTAGGTAAGTTGGGTATAGGGGGCTTCAGTTTCCTGACACACAACTCTAGGAAAGTTGGTGCCTTCCCCTCTCTTTTGGGAACATCCTCAAGCCCCAGCAGCCCTGTGGGACAAGGCTTGAGCAGATCCTCTGCCCTCCCCAAAGACTTCTTTCTGCAGAGGTGTTTGGGAAGAGAATAAAATACCCCTGAGGACAGACACAGGATGTGCCACTTCTCTATGCCTTGGGTTGTGAGCTTCTCCCCAAAGCAGGAATGGGAAATCAGTGTCAGGACAGAGCTTCCCAACAGCCCCAGGCAAGGTGACAAAAACCACAACTAGACAGATTCCTGCTGCAGTGCCTGAGAACAAGCAAGGAAGCTAATAAAGCTAAACCTGGGGCAAGTTTAGAAAAAAAAAATAAAACAAAACCAAAACCCTCCCTCCCCCTCCCACCCCATCACAATCCCACCAGCACAGCCCTAACCTAGCACTTTTTTTAAGCTCCAGAAGGGAAGTCCAGGCTGATGGTCAACCAAGCTGTCTTTGTACAAGGCGGTCCCAAGACAGCATTAGGAGGCAGCAATGGCCGTGCCCCCGCTCAGCTTGACAATCATCTGCTGGCAGTCATTGCAGGAGCGCTTGTCCCCCACTTTCTCCAGGGTGCGGGCGGCCTCAGCCAGCAAGACGGCTCGCTGGCCCGGGGAGGAGAGGAAGGAGAGGGGAAGATGGCGGCAGGCCAACAGGATGGCTGTGGCTCTCTCCCTTTGGCCCGGCAACGTGTCCAGTTCACCTATGTGCAAACAGGAGAGAGAAAGTTCACAACAGAGCTACCACCCACATGACAAAACCCCACCATGCAGGCCCTCAACTGGTACCAGTGAGCACAGGCATCTCTAGCTGGCAACCCCTGGCTAAGCCAAGAGTGAGGGCCACTCTGAGGACCCCCAGGGAGCTCCTTTAGGCTAGCAGAATAGAACAGTCTGAGCTGGAGTCAGGTAGGGGCTGTCAGTCATGTCTTCTACAGATAGTTCCTTTCACTTCACTTCCTAGGGCTCACCCCAGCATTGGTACACACATTTGCCCATTCCCCTTACACCCTCACAAGGGATTTAATAACCAGCACCATATCTTTTGGCTCTTCCCTTTAGGATTCCCAGCTTCTGCCTTTGCACTGCCTGCCCCAAACCCCAGACTGCCAAGTTTTGAGTATGTATAGCTGCATGAAGGCAAATGTTTTCCAGTCTGTTCACTGACACCTCCAGCCCAGGGCTGGCAGCTCACATTAGTCGGCTCGTAGAGAGCATGGCAGAAGCATCGCCCTGAGCCACAGGCTGATGGGAGCTCATTATCCTGACACAGAAGACACTGCAGCTTGCACCTATGCCCCCACACCTTACCCAAGTGCTGCCCCCTCCCCGCCCCACAGGCAGTGGGGTCGGTGCCCAGGCCCCAGGGCTGACCTTGCTTGCTGCTCTGGGGCGTGCGTCGCCTCAGGCTGTGCTCCAGCAGCTGGTGGGTGCGGGTAGGGCTGGCACCTGCCATCAGGCGCACGGTGGCCTCGTGGAGAAAGACCTGGAAGGGAAGGCAGGATGGAGGATGAGAGGTGGGGACAACGCTGTGGCTGAACATGTGTCATTCCTCAGCCACTGCATTTCGAGAGCAGAGCACTGACACCTTGACAACAACAGAGACCCACTTCCACACTCCTCCCTCATGTTTCCACCTGTCTCTGGGGAATTTGCAGGTCAAGGAAACCACGAGGAGGGGAGGAAAAAAAAAAAAAAAAAGATCTGACACCTAACTGTGAGCGGCCTGGAAAGGGGGAGGATCAAGAATAGGGAACAGGATGGAAAAATGGAAGAGCAAACCCTGGCACTATGGTCCCAGGGAGGGGTCTCACCCCAGGTTGCTAGTGCAGCACTTTGATAACAGCATCAAACTTTGAAATCCAGAGTTTGGACAAAACCAGGACAATTCGTTTGTTAAAGTATTAGACTATACATCCTCTACTGAG